ATTTCCCGAATGATCTCCGGATCCGTGAGAGTGCTTTCGGAAACTCGTCCCTTAGCTAACTAGGTATCACCCACTTCAGCCTAGCACAGAGGGGATCTGCACTTTTGGCCATAGAGGGCCTCGAATGGAGCTGCCTTTATGCTCGTGTGATAATTGTTGTTGTAGGAAAATTTGACAAGGGGTAAATGAGTATCCCAAGCTTTTCCAAAGTCAATCACATATGCACGCAACATATCTTCTAAGGTTTGGATAGTTCTCTCACTTTGCCCGTTGGTCTATGGATGGTAGGCTATACTTATGTCCATCCTAGTTCCTAGGGAACTTTATAATGACTGCCAGAACCTCGAAGTGAATCTACTATCTCTATCTGAGATGATAGATAAAGGAACACCGTGCAGCCTTACAATCTCCCTAATGTAAGTCCTGGTAAGTTTCTCCATCTTGTCTGTTTCTTTGATCGGTAGGAAGTGTGCAGACTTGGTCAGTCTATCGACGATGACCCATATGGAATCAAGTCCACCCGTCGTCTTGAGAAACTTGGTTATGAAATCCATAGTGATCCGCTCCCACTTCCATTCTGGTATCTCCAGTTGTTGTAGAAGACCGGAGGGTTTCTGGTATTCGACCTTGACCTTTGCGCAAGTAAGGCATTTACTCACGAAGGAAGCAATATCTGCTTTCATGTTAGGCCACCAGTATAGCTTTTTAAGATCCAGATACATCTTATCTGAACCCAGGTGGACAGAATAACGAGTGTTGTGAGCTTCGGTCATGACCAAGTCTCTGAAGCCACCGTGTTTCGGTGTCCAGATCCGATCCATGAGGTATAAGGCTCCGCCACCCTTGACTTCCAAGTTCTTATCCATCCCTCTAAGGGATTCACCAGCCACATTTTCAGGTTTCAAAGCGTCGAGCTGAGTCTCCTTAATTTGCGTGGACAAGTGTGAATGGATAGTTAGAGTCAAAGATTTGACTCTACGACCAGTATATTCTTTCTGACTTAGGGCATCGGCTACTACATTGGCTTTACCCGGATGATAACAAATTTCACATTCGTAATCGCTGAGTATCTCGACCCACCGTCGTTGTCTCATGTTGATCTCTTTCTGGTCGAAAATGTGTTGTAGACTCTTATGGTCCATAAAGATCGTGCTTTTTGTACCATATAGGTAATCTCGCCAGATCTTCAGAGCAAAACACAACTGCTCCTAGTTCAAGATCGTGGGTTGTGTAGTTGACCTCATGTGTCTTCAGTTGTCTCGAGGCATAGGCGATGACTTTAGCTCGCTGCATCAGAACGCATCCGAGTCCTTGATTAGATGCATCACAATAGACAATGAAGTCTTCTATCCCTTCGGGGAGGGATAGTATCGGGGCGGCGCACAAGGCTCGTTTGAGTGTTGGAACGCTCTTTCCTGTTTCTCTTCCCAGTCAAAGGCCACGCCTTTCTGGGTCAGGGTTGTAAGAGGTTTCACTATGCTGGAGAAGTTCTGAATGAACCTGCGATAGTAGCTAGCTAGACCTAGAAATTGACGAATTTCAGTAGGTGTCTTTGGTGCTGACCAGTTCTCGATGGCCGTAATTTTGGAAGGGTCCACGTGTATTCCCTCTTCGCTAACAACATGGCCCAAGAATTCGACTCGTCGAATCCAAAATTCGCACTTTGAGAACTTCGCGTAGAGCTTCTCCGACCGCAAGGTTTCAAAGATTTTTCGGAGATGTTGACTATGTTCCTCCTTACTTCGAGAGTAGATGAGTATGTCATCAATGAAGACGATGACGAACTGATCCAAATAAGGACGACACACTCTATTCATCAGATCCATGAATACTGCGGGTGCGTTAGTTAATACGAATGGCATCATTACAAACTCGTAGTGCCCATAACGAGTTCGGAAGGCTGTCTTGGGAACATCCTCCTCTAACACTCGTAGTTGGTGATATCTGGATCGCAGATCTATCTTCGAGAAGTAGTTAGCTCCTTGAAGTTGATCAAATAAATTGTCAATGCAAGGCAAGGGATAACGATTTTTAATGGTAAGTTTGTTGAGTTCTCTATAGTCGATGCACATGCGAAACGATCCATCTTTCTTCTTGACGAACAAGACCGGTGCTCCCCACGGTGAGAAGCTTGGTCGAATGAATCCCTTCTTGAGAAGTTCATTAAGTTGACTGGAAAGCTCCTGCATCTCGGTCAGTGCTAAACGATAAGGAGATTTGGCTACTGGGGTATCTCCTGGCACTAAGTCGATTATGAACTCGACTTGGCGTTGCGGTGGTAAACCGGGAAGTTCTTCTGGGAATATGTCGGGAAAGTCGCATACTTCTGGGATTTTCTGGATGTCCTTCAGTTCTTGACTGGTATTGACGACGTGTGCTAGGAATGCATGATATTCCTTTCGCAAGCACTTCTGGGCTTGAATGCACGAAATGATACGAAGGCTCATACTAGGTTTGTCGTCGTAGATAATTAAGGTTTCGTTTTTAGGAAGGTTAAGACGAACTGCTTTTTCAAAGCACAAGATGTCGGCGCGAAGAAGACTTAACCAATCCATACCGATGATAACATCGAAATATTTAATTGTGACTGGCGTGAGATCTATCTTGAAAGTATGGCCATCTAAAGCTAAGGTACAACCTACGTATGTGCAGTTTGTACTCTCTGTTTTCCCGTTAGCCATTTCTACCGTGAATGAATTATCTAATGCACATGGTTTTTGTTTAAGCAGGTGTGCAAATTTGTGACTTACGAAACTTTTCTCGGCTCCACTATCGAAAAGTATGCAAGCATATGAGTTATCGATGAGGAACGTACCAGTAACTATCATAGGATCAGCTACTGCTTCCTCGTGACCTAGGGCCATAACTCTTCCTACTCCGCCAGCCATCCCCGCTTTAGGGCAGTTCCTCTTGTAATGGCCCACCTCGCCACATTCGTAGCAAGTTTGGCCCATACCGGCATTAGGAACCTGGGCAACTTGAGTTGTTGGAGTCTTGCAGAAACGAACTGTGTGTCCCTTCCTGTTGCAGTTAGAGCACTGCATCTCCTTGCAAGGTCCATGGTGGTGGAAGTTGCACTTGGTGCACTTCGGGAGAGTTCCAGCATACGTTTTTGCTGGTAAGGGGTTCGCAGGGACAACGGGGGTAACTGTGGCAGCATTGATTGCCACAAGTTGTTGTGGCTTGGAGGATCCTTGCGAAGCCCCTCCTTTCCTCTTATTCCACCCCCTCTTGTTGTTGTTGGCCTTCGGTGGTACAGATGTAGGGATTGTTGGGTTCTGAGGTTTCCGGTGATCTATGAGAGATTGTGCCAGTTCCTTGGCACTATCAAAAGTAATAGGCTTGGAAGCTATAACACTTGACTGGATATGGGGCGACAGCCCCCAAATATATCTCTCTCTATCTTTTTTCTCCGGGGAGCAACCATGTCAGGGCATAAGTTTGCCAGATCACAGAACCTATTCGTGTAGGTTCCTATGTCAGATCCAACCATTTACAGGCTTCAGAGTTCCTGCTCGAGTTTTTGTATTTCTCCCCGAGGATAGTACTCTCTCATCAGCATGTCCTTCAAGTGTTCCCAGTTGATGGAATACGCCACCACCAGAGTCAGGTACTTAACATGGCCGTTCCACCATGTTAGTGCCCTATCAGAGAAGGTACAAGCTGCGAACTTGACCTTGTTGCTTTCTTGGCAAGAGCAGATTTCAAAGATAGATTCCATCTTTTAAATCCACTTCCTTAACACCATAACCCCACCAGTACCATTGAAGCTGCGGGGTTTGGCGTTTGTGAAGTCCTTGTAGGTGCATTCCTGAGGGTGTCCATGGATTTCGCTGTGGTTCGAGGGAGGTGCACCTGTTCCCGATCCACTAGGGACAGGAGTGTTGATTGCTAACACAGCAGCTGCAACTGCTACTGTGAAAGCTGCCTGGAACATGTTGGCATCAAAGGGGTTAGGTGGTAGAGGAGGTTGAGGTTGTGGTGGTGGAGGAGGCAGTGGTATCAGTGTTTCGTTGTTTGGGGTACGCCTTGTACTTCTGCGTGGCGGCATCTTTAACTATACGTTTAAAAGATGACGACATGGATAAGAATAAATGATTTATAAATGTGTCCCATGGACTAACTCCCCATAGTCCAACAATAGAATGAATAGAATGACTAACTGAAAATGACAGTAGTTGGATAATAATTTCCATAAGATTAGATATCTGTCAATAATACCGGAATTACAGATGTATCAAGTTCGGGAAAATGGCCTAGAAGTAGGCCCTACATCAACCAAGATGGAAAATTTTGACAGAATAGAGACTAGATCAAGAACTAACAGGTCTAAGATTTATATAGATAGGAAATTAGACCCAAGTTTTACATAAACTAAGTTATATCCAAAAGATGAGTCCACGAGCTTCTATCGGCGACGAGAGCTGCTTGCATGAGTCCTCGATCCCGATAGTAGGCGTTCAATGTCCCTTATACGCCTGTCCGACCTTGCTTGCTGAGCTTGAAGTTCTCTAACTTCAGCTCGGGTTTCAGTAAGTTCCCTCTGCAGATTTGCATTGCGGACTAGAGTTCTTTCATGAGCAGACTCTAGTTGGCGAATGTGGACAGTGTTAACACTAGATTTGGTGTCAACTTCCAAAACTTGATTGATAGTCGCTTGAGCCATTATCGTGTTCCGAGAAATCCTACGCACCATGATTGGTAGGACTCTATCAGCAGAACCTCCTTCAGTGAGGTTGTAGAAACTTTGGTCTCCATTGTAGGGAATGGGTTGACCTTGTTCCTGACTCCATTCAGTCAAGCTAATGGCCCACAAGGGTGTGGGTCCTTGAAACATAGGGGGGGGGTTCGGGTTTGGGTTTTGAGCATTTAGGGGTAGGTTGTTGACT